GATGAATCCTACTATAGTTAATATCAAGATGTTAACTAATTGTCATCTTAGTAACACTCCCCAATATTAACATAGAGGAAGAAATAACTATTACTATAGCTAATGTCAAGATGTTAACTAATTGTCATCTTAGTAACACTCCCCAACATTGATATAGAAATAGTATTTAAAGGAAGAATTAATATTCAAGGAAGAAGATTAAAGAAAATAACTCACAACTTACAAATGCATTAAGCTTCAAAGAGTTTAGCTCCTCATTTGGAGACTAAACATGAAGAAAATATAAAGAAAGAACTATTCTAGACTGAGCTAAGAAGTATGGAAGAAGGAGTGATTATTTGTGAAGGAAATGTGTGCTATTTATAGGTGTTTTTCAACACCTTGGGCCGGGTACCCGACCAGGTCAAGTGCCTACCCGACCGGGTCCGGTCAAAATCAGATATCCTCCATGTTCTGGTGATCTTCGGCACGTTAAAATGTCCTGGGTCAAGTCAGACCCGACCGGGTGCAATACCTCACCCGACCGGGTGCAATACCTCACCCGACCGGGTGATTGTAGTTTCCAGCCACCTTCGCTTTTCAATGTCTCACCCGACCGGGTGCAATACCCCACCCGACCGAGTGATTGTCCTGGGCAGCCAATAATCATTTTTCTTCACTTCAAAATCTTCCTTTCCAACACCATAAATCCTAACTCTACTTTACAACTTACAAATGAGAACTAAAATACAATTACAAACCAAATAAAACAAATATTTACAAACTAATAAAAATGGTAAACAATACACACAAATCAAACATAAAAATATACATTTATGCACTACTAATTAGTGCATATCAGGCAGCCCGCTCGAAGACTCAACATCGGAGATGCTTTCCGCCTCAACCGAAGGCTCCCTAGAGATATCTTGGGAGTCGCTTTGCGAAGACATTCCTAAGTACTAAATGTAGAGGGTTTTCGAAATAAAAAGAGTGCTAAGGAACTCTAAACACTTAATCTAAGGTTCAGAAGCAAAACTTAGTAATATAGCGAAGAACAGGTGAAGAACTGACCTCGGAAAGGATAATTTAATCGGAGGCAAGTGTTTATCTCTCTAGAAAAATTGCCAGAGCTTCGCTACAATAAGGAATGCGTAAAGGGTAGTGAAGTCAGGCCTTGGGTATTTATAGGCCCCCAACTCCGGGCTTGGGCCTGAAAACCGGGCCCCCGGTTTTAAAACCATCACTACAAACCGCCGCTTCAGCCAACCGGTGACACCGGCCCGCAGAAGGCCAACGAGCGCGTTCCACGTGGAAACCCTCTCCAACGGTCATATTCCAACGGCTATTTTTGAAAACACAGAGGTGCCCTCGGTTGACACCCCTCGTGCAATAACTGGGCAAGCCCTCGGGCTAAATCTTCCAGAGTCCTTCATCGAGGGTAAGAACACCGTAAAGATGGGAACCCCTCGGGAACCCTTAGCCCTCAACATGTTAAGAGCCAGGGAATCCCCCTCGGCAATACAGGAACTATCATCTGCATTCGTCACGCCCTCAGTCCTCAATGACTGGGGAACTCCCCCTCGGCATCCCCTGGATATCAACAAGGTACCTTCGGCAAATCAACAAGCAAGCCCTCAAATCAAGGGTAGCCTTCGGCATCAATATTATACTCAGACCAAGAGTCCATCTTTTTCAATTCATCATTGGGGGAACTCGGTGCACTCTTTTCCCCTCATTGGGATTTTTTCCCACAGGGTTTTTCCTAACGAGGTTTTTAACGAGGCATCCCCCCAAAATGAAACGAAAATAGTCAGCCTTCAGCCCCATACTGAAGACATGCACTGCTCTACTCCTCATCACCACATTACATGTGCCTCAAGGAGTAGGGGACTGGAGGATCCCTCCGGGAAAAATCACAAAATGTTAAACTTTCCCCAAAACATCAACATAATACTTCAATACTCGTGAGTAGGGATGGATTCGGGCCGGGTCGGGCCCGGTCGGGCCGCCGGTTCAAGAACAGTGGGCCCGGGACCGGCCCGAGGGTTGGACGGGTCCGGTTCGGGGCGGGCCACCCGCCCGGGTCACGGGTCGGGTCCGGTTCGGGCCGGGTCGGTTAATTTTTTTTTTAATTTATATTTTATATTTTATAGTTTATAGTTTGATACGAGTATTAAAAACAAACTTCAATTGCATTTATTTGAAATGAAATAGGAACTACATTTGAAAATTAAAACAAACTTTAAGAGATAAACATTTTGAAAATTGTAATCAATCGAAACTTCCCGCACCTCCCGATCCTTTGGCTTTGTCACATGACTTCATATACTTGATTGCCATCCCGAATCCGCCTGAAGCCCCCATAATACATTTTTTTTCGCACCATTTACAAATTGCGTACCACATCCCGGTCTTCGGGTCCTTCTGCTTATCAAAATTATACCGTATAGTGGCATTTTGATTTTCCATCTTAACTTCTTGGAGAAGAGAATTAGAGAGTAGATATATAATATATTGGAGAATAAGAGAATTAGAGAGTAGAGAGTTAAGAATAGGATTTAGGAAGAATTGGAGAAGAGATATGAAAAAATGTTTAAGATTAGGAGTATTTATAGGTTTTTTTACCCCCCACCCCCCCCCCACCACCCCCCCACCACCCAACCCCCCCCGGACCCCCCCTATAACCCACCCAACGGCTATATAGCCGTTTGGGTTGTCCCCAGCCCCACCCCCAACGGCTAGTAGGAGCCCAACCCAAAAAAAATTTCTTTTTTTTAAATTTGATCGAACCGGACCCGGGCCCGGGCCCGACCCGGCCGGGCCGGGTCACAAAATTGCTGAACCGAGCCCGCCCCGCCCCTTCCCCCCGGTTCGGGCCCAGACCCGGTCCCGGACCGCCCGACCGGGCCGGTCCGGGGCCCGCACAGTACCGGGCCGGGCCGGGTCACGGGCCGGGTGGCCCGAACCGAATCCATCCCTACTCGTGAGTATTCTCTCTTCACTGCATTCATTAATATTTATTCCATGATCGAGTAATAAGTAAAAAAATAACAATCAACAACAATGACTTATAATTATGATATTAAATTGTATTTTACATTAAAATTTAATTTTATAGACAATTTTCATTAAATTTGAAAGTTATATTAAATTTAATTTAACACATGTTAACGTAAGGGGGCAAACAATGAGAATGATAAAAACTCAAGGGTTAATAATTATGACATAACCTCAAGGGGCTAATAGTGATTTATCCTAAAATGTTTATGAAGTTTAATTTAGGATAGTGGTAACCCTAATGAAGTTAGATTATCAAGGAGCATAATGTTAGGAGATCTAACGAGCATAGAATATCGAGTAATCTACTCCGTACTATCGTATTTTCTTCTGTATACACATATGACTACATTGGTTCAATGGATTTAACAGTATATTGCTTCTCCATATTTACTAGAGTAATGTTTAATATTCAATAATTTATTAGCAATACTCAAAGCCAATGTTTGGTTAGAATGTTTTTACTTGGACAAAAATATTCTGGTCTGTTCTTGTCTGAACTGGTCTGATAAATATCTGGTTTCTGTGTATTTTATTATTCTTCAAAGCTGATCTAGAACTGAAAACAGTCTGAGTAAAAACATCCTTAGCAATATTAAGCATATTATTCAATGAACATCATTCTTAAAGAAAATTCATACTCCCTCCGTCCCAAACAATACTTTCAACTTTGACTTGACACGGTTATTAAAAAAATGAAATAAAGTGAAAATGTATTGTTGTGATTGAGTAAGAAAAAAGTAATTGAATGTTAGCTACACAAAACTTTCGAAAAATGATAAGTGGGGAGATTTTTTTAGGACATTCCAAAATGGTAAATTAGAAAAAAAAAATTGAGAAAGAAAAATATAAGTGAATGCTAGTCACACGAAAACTTTCACGAAAACTTTCCAAAAATGATAAGCGGAAAGAATTTTTTGGAACATTTGTTGGAACATCCACAAACAGAACGAAGAGAGTAATTATTAATGAATGAATTAACGAAATATGCAAGCACAAGTATCCAACCATGACTAATGAATCATGAATCCACCTCACTTAAAAGCACAGTAGAAAAATCATTCTAAAAAATGGAAAAAGGTCAAATAGTCCCTCAAACTAACTAAGATTTTGTCCGATCGTCACCATTTGAGGTGGTTCCCAGTGGAATTTTTTGATGAAATTTTTTGAGCATCTTCTTCATTAAATCTAGTTTACTCATACCAAATTTCAGATGAAAATTCAACCGGGAAGACGAACAAATTATTTTCTTAAATGTACCGCGCTGTTTAACTGCGCAGTTATCTTCAAAACTTCATTTGACTGCCTTCCCGATTGAACTTTTACCTGAAATTGGTATGAGTAAACTAGACTTAATGAAGAAGATGCTCAAAACATTTCATCCAAAAATTCCACCGGGAACCGCCCAAATGACGATGGCTGGACAGAGCCTCCAATATAAGGGGAAATTTGCACTTTTTAAATTAGTTAGAGGGCTTATTTGACCCTTTTCCCTAAAAAAAACCATTAAATTGAACAAATAGGCAGGCCGGGACTGATCTGGTCGTCTCCAATTCAATAAGGCAAAATACATCTATGCCGACATGTAATTTTTCAAACGATGGTGGGATTAAAGAACAGACCAAAACAACAAGGGGACAAACTGCAGCTGCAGAGTAAGAACTAAGAACCAAGAACCAGGCTCCAAAATATCAGCACAAGATGGGCAGCACCGCAACAGAAATGCAAAAGATATACTACTAGCTAAAATGCCCAGAACATCAGCAGCCACACAAAAGGCAAAAATCAGAAGGCACAACAACCAAACTGTAACACAAAAATGAAACGCCCCTACCCTTTACACACCCACCCACCGTAATATATTTCCTCTATTTTCTCAAGCAACACATCTGACTTTTTCGAAATTAGAAACATAAAGCATAAAGAATTTTAAAATTTAGATGCAACGAAGCACACAAGGGTAGCACCCAAGAGACGGTAAGTCTGTAACTGAGGCAGGGAAAGCTCAGAGCAATTCTGAATGCTCTCCACAAAGGGTAAAACAGGTTCAAGTTTCATAAAGACAATACATAATTAATATAAAAAGAATTCATAATTTTATTGATGAATGAACTAATAAAATATTCAAGCACAAATATCCAACCAATGACTAACTTTACTACAGAGTATTATATTACTTGGTATTATGAATTGTAAGGTTGTTCATTTATCACCACATGATCGTAGAAGTACTTGCCATCGTCTTCATATCCGGGAAAATTCTTCTGGAAGAATTTATGTGACAAAAGCTTATGAGCAGTGGGCCTTTTTAGGGGATCCCATGCGAGGCATTGAATGACCATACTGGTGAACGCTGAGGAAAACGGTGAGCTGCTGCTGGCGGAGCATTGACGGCCCAACTTTTTGGCATAATGCTTCAACAAATTTGTGTGCTCTGTTTTGATGACTTGTTGCTCTGTTTCAATAGTTAATTGTTTGTGACGGCCGTTGGTAGTAGGCGGGAGTTTGTTGTTGTGAAGTATGTCCTTAACCATGGCCTCCAGAGCATTCCGGTTCGGGAGTTGGAGGCCGCCGGCGCCATATGCCAACTCCAAGGCAGTGATTCCCACCAGCCAAATGTCAGCCTTTTCAGACGGCTGTTCGTAATTATTTGTATGGGAGGCGACTAGTTCTGGTGCAGCAGCCCACTGAGAGATTGAAGGCATGGGTAACAAAGCAGAGTTGCTTGTCCCGGCAGCAAATTCGTCGTCCTCGTGGAAAAGGGTGGCAGCAAAACCCAATTTGAGGAAAGAGTCGGGAAAAGGTAAGGGCGGATGGGGTGTGAGATAAACGTGGCCGGCGCTGATATCTCCGTGCGGGATGCGCTGCTTATGAAGGAAGCAGAGAGCATTCAGAATTGATCTGAGCACACAGAGAATGAGATCCTCCCGGCCCTGAAACCCTCCGTGTTTTCTCACGATGCTCCTGACAGAGAATGCTCCATGCGTATAGTCATCCCTCGGGGCGACAGCGTAGCACTTAGTACCATCATAAGAAGCGGTGACGGTAAGTGAATCCCGGACTTGCAACAAATTGGGGTGACTGCCTTTGACGCCATAGCTTCTTCTGACTTCTTCCCTGAGGATTGAGATGGCTTTTGGATTATCAGCCACCTTGACAGGATGCAGGCTCTTTGACACCGATGTTTGGTAGCTATTTCCTGATTCCCACTCTGTGATTGTGGTTTCAGCCACAGCGGCTTTGTATACCGTTATGCCGGGTTCGCGGCGGCGCCCAATCGTGCCTATGGCCACATAAGCGCTTATGCACGTAAACCCAGGCTGCGAAGTGCGAGCCTCAAACCGCTTGAATTGATGATCATCATCGGTGCCGCCTTGCTTCATACGTATGCGGGTTTCCACCCGCACCTCACCGCTTCGCTCGCCGGCGGCTGACCCCGGGAGAGGTAAATCCCATCTTGCGTGCAACGAACTATGATGAATCTGATCCATGTTAATTCCGATGTTCGATCGCTCCCTAGCTATTGCGTACGTGCGTGGTAGCGGATTGAGCTAGGGTTTTAATCAATTGTATTCTTTTCTCCAAACACTTTGTGTATGTGTGTATATATACATGCGCTGGAAATTCTAATCCTGGCCAGCTTGGGACACGTAGACCAACCGACAATGTTGAGAGTACAACGTAATTAATACGAAGATGAATTTTCCTAATTCTTGGACGTTGACCTCCTCTCTTTGAGTGGGAGTGCGTAGAGACTTCTCTTGCTAGAATACCCGTACGAGTAATTATTGAGGCAAAAATTAAGGAAAAATCATCAAAATAGAAATAAAAATGCTTGTAAATTCTTTTATATATATATAGAAAAGATCATGTGAGAAGTCGCTCTTAAAATGAGAAGTGAGAAGCAATCTCAGCACTTGAATTTGCATCTAATCTTACAACGCAGTAAACTTATAGACTGAATATAGGAACATGTAATCAATAAATCATACGGAGTAACTTATAAAGCTCTCCATCATAATTACAAAAATGCCACGGCGTCCAAAAATTTTCAAGGTTTCCAGACTTATTTTTTGGCGGTGGCATTTTCGTATTATTTTTTACGGGGTTTATAAGTTATGATTTATTGATTAAAAGTTTGTGTTTTTAGTCTATTAGTTAAATCTCGCAGTTCTCAGCCTAAGAGCACTTCTCACATTATATGCTCCCTCTATATATATGGGTGATGGATAAGTGTACCCGGGGATATCTATCCGAGGGGTTACTGCGGGGAGTAACTAGAGAGAGGTCAGAGCAAAAGTAAGAGAGAGAATATGTATTGCTGAGAAAGTATTGAACGTATTGAGCCTGTATTACAAATGGGGGAAGTAGTGCTATTTATAGTAGTAATAAATGCCAGATAGGGACACGTGTCATCATTCTGGTGGTCGAGGGGTCACCTCAACGGGGTGGCACTGACACTCGCATGTGGCCGCATTAAATGCGGTGGTTGGATGTGACGTTTGTACTCGGTATGTTGATCTAGCGGATGTGGGCGGGGAATTCTGTCGAGGAGATGCCTTCGGTCGTAGATGGTTGATCGAAGGCTCTTCATCCCGGGGGGCCTCTAAGTGCCGAGGGCTCTAGATACCGAGGGCTACTGTTTTTGCCGCTTTCTCCCAGAACCTTCGAGTGCTTAAAAGCAGCTGTACTGTAAGTTCGTGAGCCTTCGGCCAGGGGGGCGAAGGCACCCCAGTGTTCGTTGTGGGCTGTTTGGTACTTGGGGCGCTGTGATTTGGGCCTGCTGTGCTTCCTGGGCCTATTGGGCCTTCGCTATAGTAGTAGGAGTCTATCGGTCGGGGGTTCCTGGACCATATACACCATCAGGAGTCCCTCACTCCTTTTGTCGAAAGGTACGTGAGGGAAAAGGAGTAAAATGCGTTTGTTCTCTGATGCTGCCTTGCTGTAGTTTGTAAACCTGTGTGAGGTTTTGCGTTTGCACACGATCCTGCCGGTGGCAGCCCTTCATTCCCCCATATTTTGGGATTGAAGGGTGTTGATGCTTTGTGAGAATAATTTTTTAGCATTGTTTTATTTTCCCGGTTCCCGGAGGGGTTCTCTAGTCCCCCACTCCTTGAAGCACATGTAATGTGGTGAAGAGGAGTAGAGTAGTGCCCGTTGTTATCATGTTGCCGAAGGCTGACGCTTTTCGTTTCATTTTGGGGGGATTCCTCGTTAAAAACCTCATTAGAAAAAACCCTGTGGGAAAAAATTCTAATGAGGGAAAAAGAGTGCACCGAATTCCCCCAACGATGAATCGAAAAGGTGAAACCTTGGTCCGAAATGGATGACAGTATTGGTGTCGAGGGCTATCCTTGTCTGAGGGTGTGTGTGTTGATTTGCCGAAGGCGCTTTGTTAATATCCCGGGAGATGCCGAAGGGGAGTCCCTCAATCCATGGGGTTGAGGACGTGATGAATGAAAGTGGTAGTTGCTGCGTTGCCGGGGGGATTCTCTAGCTGTTGACAAGCTGGGGATGAGGGCACCCGAGGGGATGAGGGCACCCGAAGGCTAACCACTGATGAGGGGTTTGGAGGTGTGGCCCCGAGGGTTTCCTGATTCCCAACACGTTGAGGGTTGGGGGGTCCCGAGGGTTTTTCCTGTTGTTAAGCCGTGGGCTCCTGGTGGAGAAAGCCCGAAGGGATTTGTAATTTTGTATGAGGGGTACTGGCCGGGAGCACCTCTGTGATTTCAAAATATAGCCGCTGCAATCAGACCGTTGGCATATGGAACGTTTAAAAAGTAGCTGTTGGAGAGGACTTCCACGTGGCGCGTGGCTGTTGGCTAGCTTCGGGCGGGTATCACCGGTTGGCGGAAGGGGGCGGCGTGTAATGATGACTTTCGTAACCGGAGGCCCGGTTTTGGTCCCAAGCCCGGATTTGGGTGCCTATAAATACCCCAAGGCTTGAGCCTTTCCCCTTACGCGATTCATTGTTAGCGAAGCCCTACCAGTTTTTTTCTAGAGAGAGAAACAACCCTTCGATCAAATCTTCACTTCCCAAGGTCAGTTGTTCCTCCTGTTCTCGAGTTCCTTAGCGTATTTTCGCCCTTAGGTCGAGTGCTAGAGTTTTTTAGGGAGCCTTCGGTTTCTAGAACCCCTCATCCCCTAGTTCTCGAGGATGTCTTCGCAAAGCGATTCCCAAAACATATTGAGGAAGCCCTCAGCAGAGGAGGAGAGTATCTCAGATGTGGAGTCCACGAGTGAGCAGCCTTCGGTGGGTGATGATTCTGCCGTTGCCATGGAGATACAGAAGGAGCTTGTTGCTGAGGCCGAGGCCAAGGATTTCGAACAAGTAAATGAAGACGAGGAGCTAGCCCTCGCCGTTCAAATTGCCGAGGAAGAGGAGGAGAAAGAGAGGCAGAAGGTTACTGTCACCGTCCTCCCTGCGCGCAACGCTGGTGAAGCCAGCACCTCCCGGCCCTTGAACTCGACGCCCCTCAGGGTGGCCCCGAGAAAGAAGAAGAAAATGAAGGCTGTCGCTCCCAAGAAGAAGGGCAGCGTTGCTGATAAAGGAAAGCCCATCGATCTGCCCGAGGGCTATTCCTTCTTGAACACCGCCGCCCTTGAGATCAAGTCGAAGGCTGATAGGGCGGAATGCTATGTCACCCAATTTCACGTGGGGCCCTCGGGCACAGTAATACAGCCGGGACCAGAAGACCTTCTCTCCCAGGCTCCCGAGGGGTGTATAGCGGTGCATATCCTCTCGGTCGCCATGGGCCTCCGGTTCCCCTTGCACCCATTTCTTCGTGAGTACCTCCGGTTCGTGGGTCTGCTTCCTTGCCAACTCACGCCCAACAGTCATTCTTACATCACTGGTTTCCTTCACCTCTGCCGAAGCCGGGGGTGGCCCCCAGCCTGGACCTATTCTTCAAAAGCTTCAATCTCTGCCGAGGGGGCCATGCAAACGTTGAGGGGTTTGCAAACCTGCAGCAGATAGCCCAGTGGAAGTTGTTCACCGAGGCGCCCTCCTCAAATAAAGGCTGGAAGGAGCGATGGTGCTATGTCAGGCTAGATGAGAGCCCCTTCCTGAGGGATTTGCGGGACCAATTTAGGCGCCATGAGAAGATTAGAAGTGCCGCCCTCGAGAAAGATGGCCTTAAGCTTACCAAGATCCCGGAGGGGTGCAACAAGAGCGTGACGATCAAGGAGTGCACCCTCGAGAAGGATCTGTATGCCCTCGGATTCCGGCGGTATCGTTACTTGGGGGAGACAGATGAAAAGTTCCCCCTCCTTGATCGAGCCTTCGAGAGCGCCGGAGGTGATTACCGAGGGCCTTGAGTTTCGTACTTAGGAAATTTTTAGTACTTTTGATATTTGTCCATGCTTTCTACCCTTCGGGCTAATTCTTTATTGTTGCTCTGCAAGTGTTGGTATGGATGCAAATGTTCTCTTCGCTCTGAAGAAGAAGAAGGGCAAGGCCCAAGCTAAAAAGAAGGACCCTTCGGGCCAGCATCCTGTTGATGCCTTCTTCCAGAAGGAGATGACGGAGCCCTCTGTTGTTGCTGCCGCCGCTGATGTGGCCGGGGGGGGGGGGGGGGAGGGGGGGCACGAAGAAGAAGAAGGGTGGCAAGGGGGTTGAGCCCCCTGTCAAGAAGCAGAAAGTTGTCGGGGATGTTGCTGAGAAGGCGGCCCCCGTGGTGATTATAGAGGATCGGTCCTCTGCTGAGCCCCCAGCTGCGACCGCACTGACGGCCCTTCCAACGACCCTTCGGGGGAATTTCCTCGGGAGACCTTGCAGGTTCCTCTCGTCAAGGGGACTGCAGTGATGTATGGCACAATAGAGCCGAAGGCTTTTCTGGGGAGCATCACCTAGACCTGGATAGGAAGGCCCTCGGGACCTACGATGACGAGGCCCTCGAGAACAAGATCCTCTGGTCTTCCCTCACCGTAAGTCTATGTTCCTCATTTTTATTTTTCATTCACTTAGTACATCTTGGATGATAGCTTGACTCCCTTGTTCATTGCTTACAGGCCTGCATAGCCCTCGGCGAGCAAACCCGGCGGCTGGAAGAATGGCGCCTCCAGAAGGCCCATAATGATGAGAAGCTGAAAAAGCTTATCCACGAGAACTCTGATGCCATAAAGCAGATGGCCCAGCTGGAAGAGGACCTTCGGCAGGCGAAGGCGGAGGCCGAGAGAGCTAGAGCAGAGAGGGCTGAAGCTGAGAGGATTCACACCGAGGCCATTAAGAAAAATGCCGAGGAGGCGCAGAGGGCCAGGGCCGAAGCGGTGGATGCTGCGGAGAGGTCAGCGGTCGAAAGCTTTGTCGCCGAGGGCAGGACTGCCGAGGAGAGGAAGGCCTGGCTCTCCCTGGTGGTGGGGAGAAGTGTCAATGCCTGGGTCGAAGGCCCCGGCAAGGACTGGTTGGCCGAGAGAGGTGACGCTTACTATCAAGGGGTGAGTTCTTCACCCAACAAATGATATATCGGAGGCTTGCTCGTCACTTCAACGTCTCCCTTGATCAGTTCGACCCGGCGGTGTACGACCTTCCCCCGTTGCAGCCTGATGTGAGAGTCCCCCTCCCCCGGGCAAAGAGAGGCCGGTGAT